GGCTGGAGAAACTTTCGCCTACTTGGAATGGAAGGGCGTTGAGTACCTGAAGAAGACGGAATATCCAAGTGTGTCACCTGACCTAACCCCCCCCCTCAATTACCGGTTCGGGCGGAGCTCAACAGGGTGGTCTACGGTGGCGGAGAAATCGACTATCTCGCTGATCTCAGGCACCACTCACGGTCGCGTGGCAGAATCTCTCGATGGCGCTCGTCCAGAAGGCTGTGGCGGAGTATCGTGATAGTGTACAATGTGTTGTTGATGGTGGAAATGCCCAACAGAATTCATAAAGTGTTACTTATAGCGCCTTGAAAGTAAAGGAAGAAAAGTGTCTTTTTTGGCTCCTCCCCTGTACATTATTTCACAGCCGAAGATGTGGCAGTGACAAGTGGCGCCTCTATTAGAGACGGTCAAGACTATCGACGTCGCGCTCAGCATAAACGCTACCTTTTCAAAGCCTGCATTAGCCGTCATTTTGCTCTCACGACGTTGCACTCGACCACCCCACCCCCTCCTTTCCAAACTCCCAGCACGGTGATTCGATTGTCTTAACACATATTGTCGCTATCACACGGGCCGACTGAGCATCAAATACTAGGGCGCAGTCGGCGGGAGGGTTGGACGAAGCGGGGCATTTTGCACGTCTGCTACTTCTCATCTGCGTCTGGAGCCATCACGTGAAGACCTGTGATAAGCTACAGGCTGATACCAGTCAAAGTTTATAAAGAGCACCAGTCAACTCCGAAAGGAGTAGATCGGCAGCGATGGGAGGGGGAAGGGGGGACACTTTTGCTGCTTCACTAGTTCTGGTTTACATGTCTGCTCTGGTGAAACCTGTGAACGCTTGTCAAGCTGAGCAAGCTCAGTTACTATGGCAAAACATGTAAGCTCACAAAATCGCGCTCAAGATGGGACGACACGTCGATAGGAAGTAGGAAGTAGTGAAAGTGCAATATGCCCCGTCGCCGAACTGCCCCCACCTGTCCTCTCTTCTAAGGCGAAGTGCTACCATACTGAAACCTCTTACCATCAAACTTGACAAGTTTGTTCCAGCTTCACAAGAGTTCACAGGTTTCACCAGAGTGAGACTTGTAAACCGGAACTAGTGAAGCAGCGAAAGTGCAAAATGCCCCCCCCCCTCGAAGCCGACCTGATACAGATACTGGTTGGCCTGCTATGCCATTCACGAATGCAGGATCGATGCATTCGCATAGTGACTTGCACTCATTGCGCATCTTGTAACGATACTATGACTGTGGGCTACTGTCTAAAAAATTTGGGCTATTTTTCCCCCAACTTTTTTCTTTTGTTTCTGATTTCTCTTACTCCAACTCTATTCGCAGAGCTCCCCTAAATAATGAGTAACACCAGCCATCTGTTTTGAAAAATTTCCCTCCAAAGCCTGAGACCACGCTGATCATATGCTCGGAATCGGACATACCAGTTTTTGCTTCATTGTCCTCCTCTTCAGGTCATGAAAGATAAGGTAGCTCATGATGATGGATGCAACCTTCTCTTCTGAGCTGAAGATGATGGGAGGCCCGAACCCCGCCCATTCGCTCGGCGAAGATTGTGCGTTCAGGCGCCTTGAAGCTGGAGGGGGAAAAGAAGTACCGCTCCATAGTAAGAAAGAGGATGAGAAAACATCAGCGCATCCGAACAGTTTGGAGAAACATTGTAGGGTCAATCCGTACGTAATTGCAGTTATCTAAGCCTTCGAAACTGCAGAGAGACGATGCGCTGGCGGCATTACGGTACCCGTTGGCGAACGAAGATGATAGCGTGTTAATTAGGTTTTTATTAGCGTCAACCTAATGCTTTTGCGGATTTGGAGTGGAAGGAGGTGAACAAGGATAGGCGCTATTATCCCGGATTCATTGAGGGATTTTGTGGTGGCAATACAGACGGACCGAAGCGCTCGAATAAATTTTCAGAATTTTCGAAATTACAGGTAATTCGTGACTCGCCATAAAGACAGGCTTGGCGCACCGGAAAAACCTCGTCTATTTCTGAACAGATGTTCAGTTCCTCCTGTGAGAAAAGGACATAGTAGGATTAATCTAAATTTTTTTCATTGTTCAAATGAAAGATCCTATCGAGAAGATAAACTACAAACCTGTAATGCCTCAACGGTACATGAAAGCCTGTTAACGCCTGTTGCAGTAGCCGGGTAGCTTTAGCGCGATTTTGTGTGCGCAATTACAGCAGAGAGCCGACTGAAATAAATTTTCAGACATTTTCGAAATACAATTCGTTCGATGTGGTGATGTGAATGGCAAAGCTGATCACGAATTACTTTATGGAATGGATTCTGCTAGCACTGTGTTAACTGGAGAACGCTTGCGAGCCTACTCAGCTGCGGCTGACAAGGTAATATTTTCGAGAGTTTTTTGTTAGGTTCAAAATTTACATTTGTTCTGCGAAGCTATAGTGTAATTCGCTGCGGACGGTGGGGCGGTGTCAAGGCAGTATGCAGGCGTGCCATCGTGAAAACCCCGCTCTCCGGTGCAGTTGTTGAAGCAGATTACCGGCAAGTGTTGTTTTACTCATGTTGACGTGACCAGGCTATTCAACAAATAAAGCACTGTACAGAACAAATAAACTAAAGCCTGATAGATACATCAAGAAACACAACATTTATTTGTATAATCATCGTTATATTTAACAATTACTAATGGTCGTAATCTCTAACAAAAGTCAGAGCATTGTCCGTAAAAAGGAATTGAACCTTGAGCAATACTGCTAATTACAGAAGAACTTGATTCTAAGGGTTGAGTCTGGGCAGATATAATGAGAGCTCCCTAATGGAACCACTCCGTGAGTTAGACGGCAGCACACGGAAAAAGTCATCTGCCTTTGATTTTCACTAAGTTTTTCAATAATTTGAATACCATTAGCAAGTCGTTTCTAGTTCTTCTCCACTCCAGTGATGGTGTCGACCAGTGGATGACGAACGGACAGCGATAAGGTCTTTGTCACTTGCTGCCTGGTAAACAACTTTTGAAGAAAGGGTTTGGACAGACTGCCAACCTTCATGCTGCTGACACGCGCAACCGTCCGCAGCGAACTACACTATATGTGAAATTGTTAGCGTCGCGTTATGCGTTTCGGGAAGTGGTGCCATTTTCATCATCTATCAGAGTATAAGTTATCAGAGTATATTATAGTCTGTGAAAGTGTCACTAAATTCGCATGTCGCGGTATAAAGTTATAAAGTGGACGAACATTTCAGTAAATCCATTAATAAGTGGGCGGAGTCGTCGGGGGCAGTCATGTGTACCATATAGTTATGACGTTGTCAAGGGTCTATCTGTCAAAAAAGATGAAAACTGTTCCGAGATTGTGTAAAAAAGCCTGAATAGTCTTAATCGCAGTGGATGAAGGGGCAGGTCGGGCTGGTCGAGTTTGGTGCGAGGCCAACCCATTCTCCATCAGTTATTAAAGCCGATAGGCTACTTATACGAATGATGATACGATCTTGTAGCATGCTCGCTTCAGCAACTGGTGAAAAAAAAGGGTTCAGCTCTGCGCTGATCCCATTCACACCCCTTCATCCGCAGCGAATAAGACTGTAACTCTTGGAGTAAAATATACGACCTAACAAATCAAAGGGGAAGGATATTGTGGTGTTGTTGTTGAATTGCTTCGTCACCTGCTGTTAACGGCGCGTCGCTGTACGCATGAATAAATAAATATTGGTCACCTCATCATCACAGCATTGCATATTAAGGTAACCTTTAACAACTGCTTACTTTCAGGCATTAGCGCAAGTGAAAGGTGCATTAGAAAAGAAGCAAAAGGAGCTGCAGGAGTACGACAGTCTCATTTATCGGCTTGAGGAGATGCCCAAAAAGCGATCTGAACCCGTCATGGTACAATTTCACTTTTAATCTTGCGTTCTTTCAAGGCCGCGGTCAGGCGAAGTTCGGCTTGGGGTTGGGGGCATTTTTTGGTTCTAATCAATCACTCTCGATGCCTGAGTCCGTGAATTACTGTAAAGCTATGCGATAGCAAGGGCTTCTCTCACAGTTGACAGGAGTCTACAGGTCCCATTAAGGTAGGACGTGTGATCTGAAAGAACCTAGAGAAAAAGCAAAAATGCCCCTCTCAAGCCAAACAGCGTTCCGAACAAGGGAAACCAGATTCCGAATGATCTGGGCAAGAAAATACTTCTGATACTAACCTGATTTCAGTGCCCTATAGGCTCAGTTGGCTTTCTTCCTGCGACTATTGTTCATACGAATGAAATACTTATTGGCCTGGGTGATGGATACTTCGTAGATACCACAGCATATCATGCTGCAGAGATCTTAAAAAGACGGAAAACTGGTTAGATACAGTTCTTTTTTCTAACTATTTCATGAAGTTGTTGGTGGTTGTTAATATAATTATATGGGTGAGAGGAATTTCGCTCGCAACAGTATTTGGGACAGAATTGCCAGAAACTGGGTGTGTAACAAGAGATTACCTCGCGACTTCGCGCAGCACATGGCGCGTCGCGTGTACGGCAATCCATTTGACGCGCTCGCTACGGTGCATTCATACTTTGCGTCTAGGCGCTTCAGCGTCATGAGAGGTAAGTAAAGTATAGGTAACAAACGGGGCTTGAACGTCGATTCTTCCAAGACGCTAAAATGCTGATTCTCCCAGAGTGCAGATTCACACAAAACGCTTATTCTCCCAAAACGCTTCCAGAACGCCAGATGATACCTACACTTTCCTTCTCACTCATAACGGCTTTTTGTTCAAACTCTGATTCTCTCAAAACGCTGTGCGGCGGAGTAAGGTACCGTTCATGTTTCGCGTCAGCGTTTCGAGCGACTGGGAAAGTATGGCTACCGGTTCAGCGTTTTGAACGTCCACTAGCGTTTCGAGCGTTTTGAGCGACTTAGAATGTATAGAAATTGATTACCGCTGAAAACTCTGGCAGACGGTAAAAGCGTTCGATCGATATCTTCGATTTCCTTGTCGCTTAGAACGGTAACAGACTCTCAGAGCGTTGCCGCAAAGTGCGAACGCACTTTAAGCCTGGGCTTGGGTTACCAGGCATCTGTCAACCGAAGGCTCTCTCGCTGTGAGGGTCCAGAGGTGGTTTCTCATCGCATCTTCTGTTCGAGCATTCAAAGGAAGGAAAATATGGAAGATGAAGGTGAGAGAAGGAAGGAAGAAAAAGAAGGAAGGAGGAGGAAGGCTTTGCGCTAGACAGATATCCCGAGACCCTGGGCTGTGCACTGGAAAAACGCAGAAACAGCGAGATAGCATGCGCATAAGGAGATCGAGAGAACGAAGGGTCGCGAATGAAAATACTGTTGTGCGGCACACTGAAAAGAGCGTAACGTCGCGTTGTGATCTCTTGCTTCACGCGTGAGAGAACCTCCTTCTTCAGCGGTATGTTGGCCTCGTCTTACCGTTGATATTTTCAGTTGTGGAAGACAATATCGCCGATCTACATCAGCATGAAAACATAATCACGCAGCAGATTGCTTTTGCCAAAGAGATTTTCGAGCATGTAAATCTAACCTCTGAGGTTTTCTTCGCTCTTACAACAACTTTTCTTCTTCTTTTCAGCAAGGCAATTCCGATGAAGTGGAGATTCGAGAAGAGTATGACGAAGAGAAAGAAGAAGAGTTGAGAAGTGAGCCTTTTCCCATGTAGGCCGTACTTTTATTGGTTCATGTCATTTTTTTCAGAAAAGCGCAGATCTAGAATACCAGCAAATCGTCCCGTTACCAAGACCGTAGCTGATGTCAAAGCCGAGGTTTTTTTTCTTTTCTTTCATTTTGTAATGATAGTGTACAAAATGAGAGACACATTTCGTAATAAATTGGTAACAGGTTTATGTATTTCTTCGTTATGGCAGTTCTCCCCTCCACCTCGTTTTTCTGTGACCACAGTCAGGGTTTACAACCCTTGAGCAGTGAACAACGGAGGGGAAGAGGTTGTAGTATGTGTGCAATCGGAAGTCGTACTCATCCTGTCGACTTGCTGCTGCTTTTAATAGGCACAAGATGCGGAAGATTGTTCTGAAATGAAAACTTCCAGCTATCACCCATCGCAATTGGAAGGTGTATGAACAACAGTGCGTCCACGTTATTATAGACATGGAAACCACCGCCCTGGCTGCTGCGTAGTAGATGGTAGCCCTTGCAGCCTCTATCCCATTAGGCCATGATAGAGAAGGGAATGTGGAGAGCGGTTGATAGCTGATATTGAAATGATACCAGCGAGTGGAAATTCGTAATAAGCGCGTACAAGTTTGTCATCGGCATGGAGTCCCAGATAGGGCAACTCGTGCGGTATTTTTTTTGATTTTTTTTCATTGCCCGGTTACCCCACTTTGTCGTTCGTTTGAGCTCCACGTCCCACCATGTGTGGTGGCGGACTTTGCTTTTATACGTCCCATCCAAACTGATCGACGCCACCAATGGTAAAAGGGGATGGTGACTTCCTACTGACTTTCATCTATGGAAACAGCGAGTTCTTATAACATCGGCCATACAAATGCGATTGCATCCATGCAATTATATCACTCTCCCCCCCATTTTTCAATATACCTTCCGGTGGGAAATTTTCTATACTTATGTGAACATAAAGACAGACTTCGCGACAAGTTGGCGAAAAGTTCGTAGCTAGCGCGTGAAAATTCAGCTGTGCATTCGCTAGTTGACTTGCCCGTCAAGAGGAAAGCTGCGGAAGTCAGTGGGAAGGTTCCAAACGCAGCCCTCTTCTTTCCAATCCAGGGGAATGAGTTGATGTGGATTCAAGGCGAGAGACCAGGCAAGAGCAGCGATGGCAGCATACAGACTAGCGAGACATCGGACAACTATCGATGCCAAAGTGCGCCTATATTTCAAATTCAGGCTGAAATGATGAGAAGGTTAGAGGAGTTAGAGCAGCAGGAGCGGATGAATGGTGAACTCAATACCGATTCTGACGACGCAGATGAAGCCGATTCACTCAAACATTCCAGTAAGTTTACACTTTTGCTGTTTTTTCCTTCCTAGACCAGTCCTTTGTATTGTCGACATTCGATTTGGTTGTAGGAGTTTGGGAAGTTCATGAAATTGACTTTTTCAGCTGTGAAGGTACAAGGTGGAATGTTTGGATGCTAAACTGACTAATGGTAAAAATTACTCCTCTATTTTGCAGCAGGACAAAAGCAAGGAAATCGAAGAACCAAAACGACCTCTATTAAATCCGGTTCCCAGTCAATCTGACAAGCCCTCGAGTGTAGCTTCAGCCACCGGATCTGTTGAATCCACCCGAGTAACTTGCCCAGGCGAAGAAATTAAAGACTTGAAGCCAGGAAGAGAGGTACTAATCAGTGAGCTCAAATGGTAGGATAGCTTTATCATTCGCAAGGTTGTTTAGAAGAGTTCTACGGTGGAAGCTCAAGTGATTGACAAAACAGTGCAGGAAGATGGACTATCAGTGGGTGTGTTCAGTGGCGTAAGTGACTGTTTCCTTACTTGTTGCCTCCACCTTTACTTACTTTACAGCGATTTCGCAACCAGTTTTCTACTTGAGACCACATTCAGTAGTTTTTGTGGGAGGGATGTTTCGGAAACTAAGCGGGGCCATGCTGACCCTCGCAAGTTCGGCTGTAGTAAATGCGGGCGCAGCTGTAGCTTAGGTCCGTTTGGGAATAGGATATGGCATGTCACGTAACAGTTGAGATGTAGGCCCCGCCCAAGTATCCTCTGTATTTTCAAAGCAGAGATATTCATTAATTGTTCGATTTCGACAAGAGAATGAGGTTCTTTTTAGGAGGATCTTATCAAGGCGCTAGCTGAGCAAGACCAGGTGTATGATGAAGCAGATCAAGTCTGTCAGCCCCCTCGTGGAGTTGACCCGAAGGTAGGATCTTTTTAACATCACATTTAACAGTTTTCGCATTGTTTCTTGGAACCTGAACATATAGGATACGCCTTTATACTGCTGTGCCGCTCAGTTTTTTTTTTCATGAAATCGCTTCATTTGAGCTGCGTCCTCGGGTCTTTTGAATGGTCCGGAATTCTAGCTTTCTCATTTACACTCCTCATAGCTGCTGTTGTTTGATAACTGATGTTTACGCCGCAGTACGCGATCGAAAGCTATCACAAGAATGCTGAGTTATGGGCAAAGTCGGACCACGGACGGGATTCGAACCCGCATCTTCTGCTTACCGGGCAGTTGCGTTCCCTATTACGCTACCGAGGCCATTGAGCTGAGTGGTCAAAAGTGGCCTCGGTAGCGTAATAGGGAACGCAACTGCCCGGTAAGCAGAAGATGCGGGTTCGAATCCCGTCCGTGGTCCGACTTTTGCCCATAACTCAGCATTCTTGTGATAGCACTCCTCATAGCTTGCTTATGTTTATAGCTTACCCGATCAGGGAGCTCATTGCAAAGGCTAATTGCGACGCTTTCAAAAAATTGCAAATGAAAAGGACTAGCTGTGGGTGACTGGAATCTTTCTGCCATTTCAGCCTTCGTAAGTGTCACCATTGGTTTGTGCAACAGGGCGTTTGACGCATAAGTAAGTTGCACGTAAAGAATTCCAAACCATTTTTAAGGCAGGATTACAAGAGATTGGTCGAAAGGTCATTCAGATGAAGTGCTTTCAGGCGCAGTTTGGTTTGGTGCTGCCATTTTGGGGGTTCACATGGATCACTGCCGATGTCTCCTGTGGGCATTTGCAAATTTCTATGAAGCTATGCAATAGAAGCTGTGTAGCTATGCTTCGTTTACACTTGAGAAAAGTTCGGAGGCCCCTACCAGGTTCTGAATTGCAATGCAGAGGAGCTAGCTCAAGGAAGTGGAGGAAGAGCAAAATGCCCTCTCCAAGCCGATCAGCGCCCGGCCCGGGTGAAACATGAAGGGCAGCAGCATAATGATCGGTCAGGGCGGCGTTGTTGTGTCGCATGTTTTATCAAGTCAGCATTCAAGCCACGCAGCACAAGCTAATTTCTGATATTTTATGGATGTACCTTCTGGCTAATCGATTTTCAGGATTTCGAAGAAGCTTCGTCAGGAATTGGTTAGAAAATCATGATGATGATGATTAGCAGATCATGACGATTAACTGAAGAAGTGGAGAGGATGGAGGACGTGAGGAGGAGGATGGATATGTGAGAGGAGAGCGGCGGGCTGTGGAAAAAGAAGTGAAAGTACGTGTTATGTACTAGTATATTCATGGAGTAATGGGAGTGTTATTTCATTATTTCAGATCTGAACTGGATTCGGATGATCTCAGTCAACCGGAAATGGCTTATGGACAAACAGACCGGGGTCCAGTGAGAATTGGGAGATTCGTTGCGCAGAATCTGGGGCCTGATGCCATACCAACGGCCTCCAAAGTAATAGGCACTCAGAAGTCAAACAAGGAAGAGAAAAAGTTTACATCAGAAAGTAGCTCTTCGAGGAGAAGCGTAATCAACGCATCGCGGACGGCAATCAGTCCCCCAACAATGAAGAAAACAATAAAATCAAGAAGAAAAGAAAAAGAAAGAAGAAGGCCAAAAAGAAGAAGTCTGTGATGTTTGCAGAGAACCTGGAAGATGCCACTGTGATCGACTCACAAGCACCGGTACGTTGCTCCGTGGCTACTTGACTTTTTTTCTCTCACTCCCCCCTCCCCTATTCCTTCCTCAGATCAGGTTGGGCGTTGAGGGCAAGGCATGAAAACGCATGCCGACAACTTATTGCGTAAATGGGCCCTGAGCATGACGAATTGGGAAAATTCCACCAAAAGTATGTTTTGTCAACAAGAGCTAACTCTCAAATAGCATTTTTAAAGATACCATCCGCTATTGCTGGGTCGGTGGGGCTGGAAAACATCTTTTTGGCGTGTACGTCCTTATTTTGCTTTCTATACTGACGAATGAGACGAGAAAACAAAGGGCGCGTTAATGACGCTGTTTCTTGGCTGCAGCATCTACTGGGGCCAAACATGCGAAATAACCATAATCTTTCGCTTCGTCGCGTGCGGCCTGTCGCCATACGATGCGCGGCAAACTTAATGTATACTGTTTGTTGACTAGCCAAACTCATAAGAATTCAAGACAGACATGGCTCCATGACAGCAGATATCGAACTTTCTCGTTCCTTGCCCTCAAATCTAAACAGCCAAAAAAAGTCAACTCATCCATCGAGCGCGGGGTTGCTCGCCACGCTCACTAGCGCGGCGTATTAGGAATGTCCTGTCACACTAATATTTAGCATAGACGCATTGAGTTTCACTTCATCTTACAGCCTTCGGATACCCGTAACTGTGAACCAGCAGCCGCCTCACAATCGAAGAAAACGTCAATCCTTCTAAACGCCGATGAGAAGTCTCCTATAAATGAGGATGAAATCACGAAGGTGACAGAGCCTTCTAAAGTTGTTCTACCCGGCTCGAAGGAAGCGTTCAGTGGCATCATCAAAGAACGAAACGTGGAAGGTAAATAGTTTCTTCTTTCTCAATAGCTGAGTTGTGCTTTGCTCCTGTGATAATTTGCATTAGTCTGACTTCGCTGATTAAGATCAGTCACAGGTTTGTGTATTCTACTCGGATTTCTTTCCAGTTTTTACTGCGAGCGATGTTCCTGCAGCCATCACGCAACCGTCAACCTCTAAACCACAGTCTTTATTCAGAATGAAGAGATTACATAATAATATGTGATATTACTAGAGCTGTTGTTAAGTTTTTAAATTGATAGAAACTTATGTTTGGTTGTTGTTCTTCGGTGAAAAGAGTGGCTTTCAATTTGTAGATTGCCAAATTAAATGATTTCTATTAACTGCTGATATTATTATTGCTGTTGTTAGTTACCTCACATGTATCGAATTTGTGTAAACGTGGTTTCTTTGACGGCGGTGAGGGCTGCCAGGAACTTTGCCAGGAGGTGTTGGCGATTTCACCGCATCAGGTCTAACCGTAACCTCGATATCAGCGAGTTTGCGTTCATAGTCCGCGATCGAGCGATTTTGTCGCACGATGACCGCGCTCCATCGCTAAGCGCTAGATCACTGCAGAGTTTGAAATAAGTTTTGTTCTGACTGTGAAATTAGCAGTTGAAGCGGTCCAACGATCAATGGTGGAGCGCGGTCAGTTGCGAAGTATGTACGCAGCCTGGAACAAAATCTCTCCCGTCCAGTGTCTTGTATAGGAAGTTACATCCACATCACAGCACAAGCTAGCTAGTAATTTCCGGCCAGTTGACTTGTCATTCCGTGACATTTCCATGTAAAACCAATTAGGTCCTGCTGCGAATGCCGAGCTCCTTGCAGCGTTGCTTCTCCTCGTCACCATAGCGCACCGCGATGGCGTACCACACTGTTCCGAAGTTCGCTGCTTGCTAGACGTCTTTGGGAGGTTTAAAATATCTGTTTGAACATATGCGAGTATGCTTAAACACTGTATGCGTCAATGTATACAGAGAGTGTCGCCGCAGCCAGTCGGTAGGTCAGGAGGGGCGGGATGAGCCAGCCTCCTACGTTTTCTACCACTG